AGATCATGTAGGATTGTTGCATAGGTACATACATGGCAAGGTGGTTTGCTGCCTCCATCCCCTCATCACCCATACCTGGAATTTCTTCCCACGTTATCCCTCCCCACACTTCTCGTCCCTCACTGTCCCTCCCCTAGTCCCCACACAATTTACAAGTTTGATAATTCCATACTGTTACTAATAGTTATGAGATTGTGTAATGCCATTATCCAGGAAACTCTATATTTGAAATATAATTTATCTTTAATTTCAATTTAAAGAATATATATCTTTAAAAGCAATGGTTTTGCTGCCATTTTGGTGGTACATACGTAAGCTGATGCATGTATTTTTCAAAGCAGGTATACTTTAATGATAGATAAAATATAAACATGATGCAAATAGTTATTTTATTGAGCAAAGCATTCAACTAATGGTAAATGTGTTGCTGTTGCATTTCTATACTCATTTTTTTTATTCATATAGCAGATTGCAGGGACAAAGCTATGACAAATGTACTAATGTTGTATTTCTACACTTATTTTTTGTAATTCACATAGCAGATTGCAGGGACAAAATTATTACTATTTTATGCTATGGCAAAACTTTGAATGTTCATCACTGATCTACTTGGTAAATTATTTCAGACAATTGAATTAGTTTTTCTGATTAATATTCCAAAAATTAAAGTTTAATACTAATGCTTAATTGACTAACACAATTACAACTCTAAAATAATTGCAGAAATTGTGTTTTCTGGCCATCTGCTCTCTTTACATTACCAGTCAGGCATCTTCCTTTCTGTACCTCACACTCCACACAGCATTTAGGGCATGCACTGCATCTAAATTGTCACCTAATTAGAGAATTAGCCTGAGGTTGCATAGTATGAATCAATGGCTTCTCCCTTTGAAGATACTACTGCCCCAGGAATTGAAACCATAGATCCAATGGCATGTCATTTGTTTTTGGCAATGGTTCCAGAGAAAGTTATATTGCCTTTGAGTCAATTAAAATAGCAGTAAATCTTTCAACTTCAAAAGATGCATCAGGCTGAATTTATTAAAGAGACAGTTTGGAGTTTAAAAATTTACATGCAGTATAAACACTCACACTATCATTAAGAAGAAATCTGTTATATAACAGTGACCACACAAATTTTAGTTTCTGTAATCTTTGTGTATCCAGGGAAACTTGTATCTGAAGTGGCTTTACGTGTAAAGTTTTTAGGGTTTTAATTTTATTTTGTGATTTCTACAGTTAATTTTGAAAACTGGCCGTTAAAATAATTGATTTTTAAAAATTCTTAGGGCACCCTTGGACTTCCTTTCCTAAAACACATTGAAATTTACAATTGCCTGTCCCAAAGTAAATATATGCTATATAAATTTCAAAAGAATATCTCAAATAGCAACTTAGAACTTAATAACTTCAGTTTAATTTGTCTCATAGTACCAACCAATAGTAAAAATCTCTCTATGGAAATCTCAAATTACGGTAGTTGTTTGATTTGTCTCTGAGTGTATCTGGGTTAACTTATAGTTTAACTTTAGCTTTCTGGCTTTTTGTATGTGGCTGCACAGGACAAATATTCATGGTTTTTACTCTTATAGAGGAAGAACTGAGTAAGAACCTCATGTAGAGTTATCTTAAGGTAAACTCTGGCTACTTTGTAAATTGTTTTGTGACCTGTGAGAGTCTCACTGAGGATCAGCAACACTGGCAATCATTAACACAATTTTAAATATTTTACAAATATTTTAAAACATATTTATCTCATTTTTCTGAAAGCTCTGAAAGATAAACTATTATACATAAAAATTGTTGAGCAATTCATGAATGCTCACAGAACTTTCAATTTTCTTAAGCAAGCATTATAAATTTTATTTGACCTCTTCTATAGGCATTCCTTCTGAGATTTAACGGATGTTTAAATATAATCTCTCATTGTGGTTTCAAAGACAAGCTAGAGTTAGAAAATTTAGGAATACACTGGAAACTTGAAAATATTTTCCCCAGGGTTTTAACAATAATGGTACATTCAAATAATGACCTGTTTAGAAATACTACATGTTACGTTTTTAATATCTATAGTTATTAATAATATCCTGAATGTATACTCATGGTTTTTAGAGCAAAGCATATTTTCATTCACTGAAAGCCAATAACCAAGCCAGCTAAAACAATAACCAAGCCAGTTCCCCAATTCCCAATATATTCTTCCAAGGCAACACTATGAGAGTAAGTTAAGAGGTCATTCACAGGTGCCAGAGAGGCAAGATACATGGAAGCCCCACCATATGAATCTAGGAGATTATGTAGCAGTTGGTCAGTTGTCATCCAGAAAGATGAAACATTTTGCTTCCTAATAGATGTTTCTCTGAAGAACTCAAAGGAAAATAATCCTGGATTACTTCCCTTTGGAATGTAAATTTATGTTTCTAGGGGGAAGATTAAACTAATGTCTTCAAGCTTTAAAACCCTCAGAATATCTGTATGGTCTTGTGTCTCATCCTCCTTGAAATGTAAACACATACCTCTAGAGAAGTAAAACTTGATCTAGACTTCTCTTTCTAGTCAGAGTAATTTTACTTCCAAGGCTGTCTTTTAGTACAGGTTCTAACTTTCAGTAAAATTTTCACAGAAAGTCCTAACTGTGCAGAAAGATAATAATACTTTGCCTAGACTCACACTATACCTTTAGCTAATATAATAATACAATCATATTTAAGAGAAAATGCATTGTCATTTTGTTCAAAAAAATGGCAAAAATTTGATATAAGCAAATGGAAAACTCTTGATAAAATATATCAAGTAAAACACATCCTTCAATTACTTATAAAATCACATTCATACCCATTCCAAGGAGTTGCACAAATAAAAGATAATGTAGTCTTATATCTCACTGTTTCAGTCCTAGAATAAAGTGTTATTCTAACTTGTGGACAATTGATAAAATTATTTTCACAATTATTTTAAACATTTCATTTTTGGATGACAATATTAAAAAGACATATGGCATCATATTACTTGGTCTAGTTTATAAACGTTTTAGTACATTTGGTAATAGATAAAACATCTTGTTGTTTAAGAAGAGAATATTCTAAACAAAAAACGGAGCCATGAGAAATATCGTTCTTTGCAGAGTCTAAGAAGTAGCTAAAGATCACAACATGTATATCCCTGCATTGCAAAGCAGTCTCTATATGAATGCAGCACTGACACTTCTCACTAAAGAAAAGGTCCATGAAAAATAAATTGTCAAAAGTTTAAAAAATATCAATTGAAAAATAAATTTCAAAAACTTAAAAAAATATTGAAACAAAGACAACCACTTAGTTTGCATAACATCAACACAATTTTTCTGTTTGTATCTAATGTTATTCTAATAATTCAAATATATTATGATACTCAGACATTTCATGACATGCTTTTTTTGTATAATATCCAACATTGAGGCAATGAAGCTATCACAGTGGGATAAAAGAAAACAAGAAATTGCATTTTTATCCCTCCACAAAAAGTGTTAGAATAAATTTATAAGGAGAGACAATCATTTTTAAAACATTTCTTCTGTAGGCTAGTAAAGAATTTGTATACAAATGTACAAGGGGGAAAAAATGAATCTTATAAAAGAGTGCTTATGATAGTAACCAAACTTCAAATAGCACTACATAATTGCATTTCTACTGTAGCTGATATTGATTTATAGTCTTATTTTGCTAAAATAAAAAATTATACTGATGGGAAGATACAGAGATCAACATTATACTCTGTAAATAACACAGATAAAATACACCAGAGAGGATGATAGACACAGCTAAATAGAAACAACTATCTTTTCTTTTGACACTAATTTAGAAAGTAATTTATTAATTCAAATCAAGTGTGTGCTTGTGAGGACCCCAGTCTAGATACCTTGCTCTTGCTGAATGTATGGATTTTGGTATTCATTATTACTTTTCAGAGTTGCATATTAACATACCGAGAAGTCAACTTCTCAATCTCTTGAATATAATATTGCTGTAAATGTTAGTAAGCTAACTTGATTGCCTTTTTATGTTTTTAATAGGTTAGCTTGAATAGTTTCATAATGTCAATAGTCATTTAGAAAATGATGTTATTTGGAGAGAATGGTGATCTCTCTTTCCCTACTGGCAACAACAGGCCAGACTTTCACAGCCAAAGTGCTGAGGAGCTATGAGGAAATTAAACAATAAATGTGAAGTCAGCCTCCTCAGTTTTACTCAGAATTGGACTAACTCCACCAAACAGATTGGACAAACACCTATTAACGCCAAAACCCTAGGCAATTATTCCAAAGAAAAGAGGGTGTTCTAATAATCTGTACATGTACGTTAGGCCACAGGCCAGAGGGAGAATTATCCAACAGTTTATGTGATAATATATCCCTCTTTTATTTGTAATATATATGTAATTGCCTCAGTTGTCCCCTCACTTCATCTGTTCAACAAAAAAAATAGTATAAATAGTGTATGCTTTTCTACTTTGCTCATATTGGTGATATAAATCCAAGTTAAATATGAAATGCTCCACATAATAAACCAGTATGCTATAGGTAGGTAATATAAATCCAAAATCATCACAACATTTTCTACACTTTGCTAATAATCTATCCTTTCTTTAATCTTTGTCTGCAAGAAATACTACCAGTCTGTCTTCAAAGGTTGTAACCTCTGAACAACCATTGAGAAATTTTAGTTTCACTCTATCTTTTATCTGACAGAATTACCTGCATATTTTCCTGTATATTGTCACCCTATATTTGCACAAAAGTATTTGTACTTCAATATAAATCTCTATGCATGCTCTGTAGCATGCTGCAGGTTACACGATTCTGATTTTATGGAAAATATTTTATAAGTCTGTAAGTCATAGATAACCAATAGTAATACAAAATATTTCTTGTCTGTAGAGAGAAGACAAGGTGACTTCTGTCCTGTGGAGGATACACTGTGGAAAAACACATTTGCCTCCAAATTAAATAAAATATTTACACTGTGCTCATCTTTATATGATAGTCATTATTTCATCCTTTTCTTAAACAAAGTATCTTTCTACTCACATTGTTTCCATCATGGCTGGAAATCTCTCATAGCTGATTCTCCCTTTCCGTGTCATCCCCAGTTATGCAGCTACGTTCGCCAGTACTGCCACAGGAAAAATGAATGAAAGGGCATTTAGAATCCAATTCCACATTTTATTACTTCATAGCATCTTCAATTCTTTTATGTAAAACTAGATATTATTATAAAATTTTATTAATTGTGTTACATTCAGGTTATTGAGTAAACCAAAAATAAAATATAGAAAGATAGCTCAAGATAAAAAACACAATATGAATAAATTCAATGAGGCGAGAATGCATAGAGCAACAATAAATATATCAGGTTAAATGGAATTCTGCTTAAATAAGTCAAAGGAGAACTAGGAAAGCAGTGTGTGAGAAAATCCCAGGAGTTTTGAGGAGGAACACGTGATCATGTTTTCTAGCTGTACTCAATACTTTGCCTTAAAAACTTTCATTATTTTTGCACTTAAGTGATAGAAATGGAGGAAATAAGAACAAAACATGATTTCCTGATGGCAACTTCAGTTTCATTACCCAGTAGTATTTCCCTGTCTGTGGGGGATATATTTCAAGACCTCACCGGATCCTTGAAACCACAGATAGCACTAAAACCTATACAGATCTTTCTCAGTTGGCTATGGGGTTACACCCTGATAAGTGTGTCATAAATGGAAAATATTGTCAAGTCAACAATGTCTTTAATAACTCGATAAACTCCTTGTAAATTAAAAAAAAAAAAAAAAGTAAGTCTAACCATCCTAAGTCAGGGACCATCTGTATATACTATGTTTTCTCAATCTAATAATCAAGATGGCTACCAAAGGACTTCATATCCTGGTCGAGAGGCAGCAGGATAGCTCAAGATTTTATCTTGCTCATCAAAATGGCAGAAAAAAATTGCTTACTTCTTGAATTTTCCATTTAATGTTTTCAGACTGCAATTAACAGCAGGCAATTGGTAACAGGGAAAACAGAAGCATGCATAAGAAGAAACTGCTCTATTTTTCTTTCATATGTAAGAATGCTTTAAATAAATTAATTACACAAGGGGATAACATACCGTTAAGTGTTTTTGGCTTCTCAGATATTCTATTAGTTATAGCATTACAATAATATCCAAGTATACTTGATTAATATATAAAACATTTGCTTGATAATACGAACATTGATAATATATAAATATTATCAATACATAACATCTTTTTTTTTGAATAACAAGGTTTGGTGAATCTTCTGATTTTGTATTGGGGCTCTTAGGTTCATCCTCTGGTTTATACCTTTTCTTTCCCATCAAGCATCTAAGTGGTATCATTCTCTTTCAAGTTTCTTTATTTTCGCTTGACAGTAGTGTTTTTCAAACATTACGGTGTCTTGATAGTTTATAATATAAGCTTTCTTGATAATATAAAAATTGATAATATATAAAATATTTGCTTAGGAGAGTCAGGAAATATGACTATTTATTTCAATGTACTGATAACATTCTATACATTATCACATATCTGGAGTAATAATTATTCTCCATGCTATTATCCTTTAGTTGCTCATATTTCTGAATATATCTAACTTTGATTATCTATAATATAAAGTGACTCTTTAGAATACTGCACAAGGATGTCTGTGAAATGTTGCCCTCAGGAATAACAAATGAAAATACACATTCTCTCTTTCTATTTAATGGACTCTACCCAGGAATACTGCTAAAAGCAGGAGCAGGCAAATTGCTTCTTCTTTCTTTGGCTCAAATATTTTGGAAAAATGGAGAACCCTACAGAGCTCAAAGGAAGACTACCCATACAGTTGTGCAATTTTCTCATTTTTACTTCTACTTTTTAATGGATATTTCAAGACTAAGATTTGTTGTAGACTTAAGTTTAAGGAGAAATAATTTCAAAGAAAGGCAAAACGTAGTGAAATGATAAATGTTATGTTTATATCTTGTTAGTGAGCTCCTTAAAAGTGCTTGCTGCTTTGACGTAAAGAATATTGAGTAAATAATAATTCCTGCAGAGTGGAAGTTGTTCACAGAGAGAAATCATGCAGAGATGCTTAGAAAATCTACATCACAAGAAATGCTTTTAAGCATGCAAGTCTTCCTCTGAACTTGCACATAGGACAGAAGTTTAACTTTCAGGTGATGTCTAAACAAAAACTATACATTGAATAATAATTCAAAGCTTCAATATGATCTAGTAATCCTACTTATAGAACCTACAACACTTCTGATGTGATAAATCAAAATGGAATACAAAGTTGACACAGTTTGCTGGTGAAATATTAGATTTCTCTCAATGTGCTACTATGAATACATAGGCAAAAACAAAACAAAACTGGATTTAAAAAAAAACTGTTAGTTGGGCAAAGATGTTACAGAACAACTATGTGTAGGCGTGATTCTAGGTTCTGGAAATACAATATTAACTAACAAGATATCTGCTTATATTGAGTTTTATTAGAGTAGGCAGACTATAAATATATAAATATATGAATAAATTTCTTATTAAGCTAATAAATTTGCAAATAGTGAAAATGTTTCCAATAAAATGAGATAGGATAATAGTAGGAAAAGAATGGTTATATTAATTGAGACAGGGAGGCTACGTAGAGTACGATGGCCTGACATCTCTGACAGAATGGGTGAGTACTGAAGAAGTCTTGATAATGGGAGGAATGTTTTAATTGTGTGAAGATTCCACACCAGAGCATTCAGGACGAGGGAATAAGATATGCAAAGAGTTTAAGAATACAATGAGTTTCCATGTTTTGGAGATGGAAATAAGAATCCAGGGTAACTTGAATGAAATGAATATTGAGGAAGGGAGAAGTAGATTATAAGGACAAATAATTGTTTTTTTTTATTAGCTGATGGCCCAAATTATAGGACAAGGATATGAAATTAAGGAAATGAGTCTAAAATATGAAATCCAGCATCTCAAAAGATAATGGTATTAACAAGTCTCCCATCTTCTCTAAAAATCACACATAATCAAAACCAGAAGACAAAAGACATCAAAAATTTTTTTACCTATATGTAAATAATATTTGAAAATGATAGCACCTACTCTTGAATTTCACAACACTACACAGAGACAGATAAAGTTTAACTGAAAAGGGAAAATACAGCAAGGTTGAGGATAAGGGAAAATACAACAAGGTTCTAATGCTAGACAAATTAATAGGATCACCTGAAAAGGCAAAAGTTTTATCTTGAGATAAAAAATATAGGGAGAATTTTGGGAAGTGGTCTAAGAGCCAGTGGTCAGAACACTGACTACTATGGTACCTAAAGGCATGATGTGGCGAGTTTATCAGTTTGTTCACAGACACCGTAATGTTTGAAAAACACTACTATTGAGAGAAAGTAAAGAAACTTGAAAGAGAATGATACCACTTAGAGGCTTGATGGGAAAGAAAAGGTATAAACCAGAGAATAAACCTAAGAGCCCCAACACAAAATCAGAAGATTCACCAAACCTTGTTATTCAAAAAACAGATGTTATGTATTACAGAAACTTCCCTCAAATGCCAACTTCTCCTTAGAAATACTTGTAATTGGCAGGGTGAGGTGGCTCACTCCTGTAATCCCAGCACTTTGGGAGGCCAAAGCAGGTGATCACAAGGTCAGGAGATCCAGATCATCCTGGCCAACATGGTGAAATCCCATTTCTACCAAAAATACAAAAATTAGCCATGAGTGGTGGCATGTGCCTGTAGTCCCAGCTAGCTACTCAGAAGGCTGAGACATAAGAATTGCTTGAAGCTAGGAGGCGAGGCTGCAGTGAGCTGAGACTGCACCACTGCACTTCAGTCTGGATGACAGAGCAAGACTCTGTCTCAAAAACAAACAAACAAACAAAAAGACATACTTGTAATTGATGGTCCGAAAAATAAAGAGAATAAATGAAAATAAATGGGAAGAGGTAGGCACCATATATTAAATTATAAAAGTAAAACAGAAGGAGATAATCAATACTATTAACCAACAAAAACACTATCCCAAAATCCAACCACAAAGGGGAGGACACTTATAATACTTCAAAATAAATTAAATATAATTAAGCAAGCAATGAAAGATATGACAGGATGCAAGTCAGAAATGCAAATATTTAGAATTAAAAATATACAAAAAAAGAATTGGAAGATAAAAGTTGACAGTATTCAGAAAAATATTTAAACAAAAAGACAAATTTATTTCAAAAAGGAAAACTAAATCCAAATATGCCAAGAAATAATCTTTACTGAGGTAGAGGGAAACATTTTAGAGTAATGGAAATATGAATCACAGTGATGATTATATGACTATATACAATTGCCAAAAATTTTCAAAATGTATGCTTAAATTGAGTAAATTTATTCTATATAAGTAATTCTCAATAAAGAAAAACAGTAAATTTTGCTTTCAGATAAGACATGGTAGATTGTGAAGTTCCAACACTTTCAAACAAATTAATAGAGGAAGGCAGATAAACTACAAAAATCATGTTTCACCATATTATAATGCTGTGGAGGACACAGTTCTCTTCAGGTGGTTATTAACAATCTTCTCCATTGAAAAGTTTTTGTTGAGTCTGGAGACAGTCCAAATTTCTCCCAGCAGAGAGAACAAACTGTGGGAGATAGAAACTAGCAGTGAAGTGCATCATGGTCATTCAGGACTGTTGTGGTGGGTTGAAAACTGGAAGACCTTCAAATGCCAATCCCAGGTTTCCTCATATTCTGGCTGATTTTTGGGGCAGAATAATCTGCTATATCAGCATGCAATCTCTTTAGTCTTAAGGTGCTTGGGAGACAAATTGCATTTCTAAAATGGTGGCTGCCTCAAATACATTACCAGGTAGCCACTCAAGATCTCCGAATTTTTAACCTGTAGGGTTAAACAATCAGAAGCTAATTCAGAAATTGTTGAATAGCATACATGTATTTCACAGTCTCACAGAGATCTGGAGACAAAGCTGCATACTTATTCTCAACGAAAACCCACAAGGGTCACATTCAGGGAAAAGGAACAAATGAGATGTGAAGTAAGTCTTATCGCAAAATGAAAGCCCTGCATTGCCTCAGCTCCATTACTGATAGATT